GGTATGGGGGGGGTTCAGAAACAGGGTTGAAATCCATAAAGCAAGGACAAATTCCCGTTATGCTGTTAAGTTTAGCATATTATTATTATTATATAATCAAGGGGAAGCGCTAAACCCTTTAGGATTATTACAGCTAATTTTTAGCATAGATACTAGTGTAATTTTGGCATCTCCTCTGACTCAGAATAAAAGTTAATCTGAGTCACCAGTACTGATCACAGCAGTTTACATATCATCTCTCCACTATGAAAAGGTAAGTAAAATTATTGTACTATAAAATTACTTTACGGTACTGTATTGTAGGGGTACAAGTTACAATGCCCATATTCTTTGTGTCTGGTTGTCTTCTGCATCAATGGACTGAAGTCCACTAGTTCAGAAGATGGCTGGATGATCATGAAAAATTAATTTCAGAATTGGGAAGTTTCAGACATTCAGCAATATCACCCCACTCCTCGTCCATTAGTCTGTTAACCCTTAAACTGTCCAAGCAGGTCTATGTTCACATGCGTAGTGCTCCAAAAGTAGATCTGCTTTTTTTTTACATACTTTCAAATGTTGAAAAATCGTAGATCTACGTTTGGACAGTTTAAGGGTTAATGAGAGTGTTCACTGTATTTGTAGAAAAAATTATCTAAAAAGTTTTCACTCCTCAGGGACATGGACATACAAATCGTGGTTCACTAACAAGAGAACGCAGTGAAACTTCAGAAGCAAGTGAAGTTACAGAAGATTTGCCTCGTGTCCTACTGGGGTAGATGGCTGCCGCGGCAATGGAGGCCAGATCTGCAGTGGGCACGGGAAGTGCTCATGTGGTCATTGTCAGTGCAACTCTGATTACTATGGCAGCACATGCCAGTGTAGTGATTACACTGTGATCTGTAAGTTTTTTTTGTGACTGCAAATTATCATTCTACTTAAGAGAGAATTGGGTTATTAAGTATGTATGCACATGGAGATGAGAAGTGTGTAGAGGAGAGAGAGTTTGGGATGTGTTAAGTGAATGTTTTGGAAGCTTTGTGCCAAGTAAAAGAATAATTTTTATGGGGACCTAAATGCTAAAGTGGGCGAGTGTTGTAGCTGGTGTAGTATGTAAGTTTGGGAGTGACCGGGGTACGTGATCATGGGGGACCCTTAAATGAATTATGCCTGTAAAGGGACTTGGTTATAGGAATATTTAATTTAAGAAAGATGATAAATAAGCATAGAAGATATGACATAGGGTGTAATAATTTGCAGTTTGTTAGACTGTATTAGTGGATAAAAGGCTAACACAGTGGACCCCCGGTTAACGATATTTTTTCACTCCAGAAGTATGTTCAGGTGCCAGTACTGATCGAATTTGTTCCCATAAGGAATATTGTGAAGTAGATTAGTCCATTTCAGACCCCCAAACATACACGTACAAACGCACTTACATAAATACACTTACATAATTGGTCGCATTCGGAGGTGATCGTTATGCGGGGGTCCACTGTACTTGTGGATGAGCATGTTTTTAAAGGGGGGTGACATATGTGTCAGATAAATAGTAGTAGCTACAGTAAGAGTAAAGGGTACATAGAGTACAAGGAGAATGGCATCAGTGGGTAAGAGAGTAGTGAAAGTGAATGAACTCAAGGAGACAAGGAAAGATATAAACATCTATTGGGAGAAAGGCAAGCAAGTATGAGTACAGGAAGTTGAGGAGATATGGGGTAAATTTAAGAATGCAATGCTATGGAGTGCAGCAGAAGTTTGTGAGTATAGGAGGGTGGTTGTGGGTGGGAAGAAGAATGATTGGTGGAATGATGATGAAGAGGGTGATAAGAAGAAAAAGTTAGTATATGAGGGGCTTTTATAATACAGTGGTACCTCAGTATATGTCCTTAATCCGTTCCAGGACCTTGGACTTTTTACTGAATGACTTTTTCCTTACGAAATATAGGGAAAATGATTAATCTGTTCCCATGAAAAAAAAATCCTATTGTTATTGGCATATTATACATTGATGGGGTTATATAAAATAATTTAAACACTGCTTAATACTAAAATATGTAATTTATACACTGCTTAATACTAAAATACATACATAAAATACAAAAGAATTAGATGAAATAAATGCAAATTTAACCTCACTTTACTTTGCTGAAGAGTCGAGTGCCTACTAGGATAGTGCTGAGAAGGGGGGAGGAGGAAATGTTATTGTTTGGAAGGAGAGTCCCCTTCTCTTTTCTGTCTCTTTTTCCCTATTTGGACCTGGTTGAAGCTCACCAGGTTTGACTTTTACTAAAAATCTGTCCAAAGAACTTTGCTTTCTGCCTTCTTCTCAGGATGTTTCAGGAAATGTTGACATTGTCTGGTCATTCCAGACAATGCTATTACGGCTTGTTTGGGCTTTGTTGGGGTGGTACTTCTCTGCAAAGTTTTTGATGTCCATCCATGTAGCAGAGATTTCCTGATTAATGAAATAGGGGTTTCCCCTGTCTCCTTTTCCAAGCCTGAAGAGAGTGCATCTATCTTAGTCTTGTGCTCCTCCTTCTTAAGTTCCTGCATCTCCTCAGTGGTCAGCTCTTCCCTGTGCCCCTCCATAACTCCTCCAAATCACCATCATCACATCCAGACCCATGGACCTGCCCAGAGAGACAATATCCTCCACTATAGACACAGTCTCATATCCCTCAGTCCCTTTCAGCCACTTCTGGCCACAAATTCCTCCAAGCACTGTTCATTGTTCTGTATGAAACTTCCTGCCAGGCTTTGTCAATGAAAGTTATGCAATGCGCGATAGTAAAGTGATCTTTCCAACACTCTCAGGGTTAACTCTGTGTCAGAGGTCATTTCAAAGCACTTCTGGAATAGTACTTTAGTGTCGAGTTTCTTGAAATTACTGGTGACCTGCCGATCCATGGGCTGGATGAAAAGAGTCGTGTTAGGGGGAAGAAACTTTACAGTGATGAAGTCAAACTCCAGCAGCACATAGTCTGCAAGCTTGGAGGGTGAGCTGGAGCATTGTCCATTATGAGGAGGGCCTTCAGAGGCAGGTTTTTCTCCTGTAAAGAACTTTTTAAACTTGGCCCAAACCACAAGTCTTTTGACCCATACAAGTTCTAGCACACGAGTCGTATTCCAAACAAAGGTCGTATACCAAGAAAAAATTTTTTTGTGTCCAAAACAAGACATATACCAAGATGGACTTATTCCAAAGCAGATGTGTACCAGGGTACCACTTTATAAAAGTTATTTACAGGTGGCAGAGTATATGGAGAGAAAAAAAAGGGAGGGTAAAAAGCAGGGCTGTGGGAGATGGAGTCTGAAGCAGTTTTTGGGTTACTGGAGTTGGAGTCAGCAAAATGTAATTAAAGGAGTCAGAATCGAAGGTTTTATGTGCTGTCTCCACAGCCCTGATAAAAAGAGAATAGGCATATTTTTGTCAGCAAATTTTGCTGAGAATGAGAAACAGTTTTGGAGATAATAAAGTGAGGAAGCCTGAAGAGCAAATGACATTTAAAAATGAACGAGGGGAGATATTAGATAGGGAGTTAGAATAGATTGAAAGAAATAAAATGGAATATAAGACAGATGTTCAAAGCAGGTGGAAATATAGTGTTGGAGTGGTTGGTGTATTTGTTTAATATATGCTTAAAAGAAGGGAAGGTACCTAAGGATTAGCAAAGAACATACATATTTTCCTTGTAAGGAAAAAGGGGACAAAAGAGAATGTTAGAAATTTTAAGGGGATTAGCTCATTGAGTATACCTAGTAAAGTGTAAGGTAAAATTATTACTGAAAGGGTTAGCAGTAAGATAAAGTATGATTACAGAGGAGCCAGGAGGATTTAAGAAGGGTAGAAGATGTGTCAACAGCATTTACATTGAATAATTTAAGTGAGCAGAATTTAGATAAGGGTAAAGAGCAGTTTGTTTCATCAGTGGCTTTAGAAAAGGTGCATGATAGTGTGGATGGGGAAAACCCATGGGGCACATGTTGTACGTGTTTGGAATAGATGGTAGGTTACTAAAAGCAGGAAAGAGTTTATAAGTGGATAATGAGGCTCAGGGTATATAGAGAGGGAGACTGTTTCTTAGTGAAAGCAGGACTTGGGCAGGTATGCACAGTATGATGTCACCATTGTTATTTAATATACTTATAGATGGAGTTGTAAAAGAAGTGAATGCTGTTGTACTGGGGAGAGGTGCGAGATTAAATGTTGTTGTCACACTTGCTCTTTACAGATGACACAGTTAAGAACATAAGGAGCACTGCAGCAAGCTTACTGGCTTATGTAGGCAAGTCCAAGTCACCAGTAGGTGACTGGACCTGTCAAACTTGGACCTCCCAAATTCATCCACCAACCTCACCTACTGGCTTAGGCCAGTAGGTGAGGTTGGTGGATGAATTTGGGAGGGAAGGAAAAAGAAGAAATTGGAAGCAAACACAGAAAAGAGCAAGATGATGGAAGTAACAAAAAGTCTAGGCAATGATAGATTACCTCTTTAATGTGTAACTTTTTTTTTTTTTAAATGTTTGGAGTTAAAGGTGGAAGTAGAGACTACAGGATTGGTTAATGGGAGGGGGGTAAGGAAAGTTTAGTCTTAAGTATCTAACGAGCTTATGCAAGTGTGTGAGACAGGAGTGAGTGGAGGCAAGTAGCTTTTAATGGATATACCTTTGGATTGTGATCAAGGTAACTTTTTGCAGGAAAAGCAGTGCCTGCATTTGGGGGTGGAGTAATCTAAATTGTTATGTCAACATGCTTGTAGCAAAATTGTAATTGACTGAATGATGGTTAATGTCTGTATTAATCAGGATAAATATACTATTACTCATGGAATTTTTCATATTTTACATTCTGTAGCATTTAGCTTCTCCAGGTTTATAAACTTGATTTCATAAGAATGATTAATTTGCTCCTTCTGCAGACATTTAATTAAATACATTGCTTACCAGTATGGTCTTCCCTATCAGTTGAATTATGCTTTCTAATGTCATTTATCATTTGAAGCTTTTTTTGTACAAGAGGATTTAATAATCAATGAGAACACATGTTTAAATGTTTTAGATGCATTTAATATACTGAACTGTTGATTTATAATCCATGTTTTTGAGGCAGATATGACGGAATGGTTTGTGGTGGACCAAGTCGTGGACAGTGTCGTTGTGGAGGGTGTGTATGTCGACCTGGCTATGTCGGAGAAGCTTGCAACTGCCCCACTCAAACTCAGACATGTATCCTACCAGGGAATAATAGTATATGCTCAAATAAAGGGACTTGTGTGTGTGGAAGATGTAGCTGTGGAGATGGGTAGGTTATTGTATTCAATATCTACTTAGTACATAGTGTAGAGAATTGGTTACAGTAGAGTCTTACTATATGAACAAGTACTAGTTAGTATCTTGGGAATTTTGAGTATCAAAGAGTGATAAATTCATTGCCACTAGCAGAATAATCATTATTTACCTTGAGATAGAGCACATGCTCTCTTACTCCATGCACACCAGGACACAAATATATATTATGCCTATTTACTAATTGAAAAGATCTATAGAATGTATGCCTGCACAGGTAGTATTTTAATAGGAGTGCAAAACTTTTAAATACAGTATTGTGATATATCACTTGGCATAACAGTACATATGTGAAAAATTATACGAATACTATATCCTTAAAAAACGTATTAATTTCAATAACTGTACGGCTTTAGGTCTGTCTCTTAGATGTAAACACTGGTCGTAAGTATGAATGAATGGTAAAGAGTATTGGTAACTGAATGGAAAAATGAGTCACATATCAACCAGATACTGCCCGGAGTTTGAAGAGGGCATCAGTTTTACAGGTATGATGTGTGCACACAGTACAAACTTGGTTGCTTAATTTATGGAAGGTGATCCCATGGTCAATTAATGAGAAGTGTGATAGCAAGTGTGTTACCATTAAACATTTTTCTGGCTGTACTTGGATAGAGCATCAAAAAATTGCATTCACATCTCATAGTAAAGGCTAGACTAATGGCAGGAGGACAGACATGAAGAACTCAATATTTATACTGCATCCTGAACTGCCATCTTAAACCAGTTTTTTTTTTCCCCAGATTTAAAGTATGTACTGTGAGGATTTCAGCCTATGCAGCTGGAGTATGTGAAAAGCTGAAGCCTTGTGTTCTCTGTAAAGCCTGGAAGTGGGAGCTGTCTACATGTGATCAGTGTCAGATCACAGTCACTATGTGGATATTCTTGGTGAGTACACCAAGTAATTGGTAATTCATTTAAATCTGTAGTATATTAATGTAGGACTAAGTCATTTGAAATCAAAAGATGGCCAAGAAAGGTTTTTGGTTCTGTTTTTACAATTAAAATGCTCATTTGATGAAAAAGAAAGCTTTTAGAACCAATATTTATATGAAATTTTTGACAACCAGTAAATGATCATTTCTATACATCAGCTGTTCCCACTAGAGAAGGGTGACCTCCCCCCTCAAAAAAAAAAAAAAAAAAAAAAAAAATAGGGGCAGTGATGAACCACTGAACGGCAACATTTCCACTTCTAAATCTGGCTAACTGGTTCCCTGAATCTCTTCACACCACATTGCCATACACTAACCCAGCAAAATCCGAAGGCCACTTAACTCCAATCTCCCATGCTCTATGACTGCTAGATGTTCAAGCCTCTATCTCTTTCACACTACCAACTTTTTTCTTGGACATCCTTACACCTTTTATACACCCCAGACTTAAAAAGCTCTTAACCCCTTCATTGTTGGAAGCCCCAAAATTAGAGGAGATGATGTGTTGGTATTTTTTTTTTTTTAAATTCTTCTGAAATGGTAGATTATTATTATTATAAAGATTATTATTATTATAATCATGGGGGAGTGCTAAACCCATAGAATTATGCAGCACCTTTGGGGGGGGGGAATGTGTAAGGCATTCAGGCTTGAGGGAACTGGAGCACAGATTCAGTTCCCTAGATCAAGAGACCTCACCAACATCAAGGAATCTTCCTTGAGGGGGTGAAATGGTTAGAGAATCTTCTTCTGAAGGTAATGACACCGCAAAAACACGAAATTTGATGGAGAACTTGGGGAATTATGCAGGCACAATTTAGTGATCTGGGCACAAATTTACATATCAGCAATTTCACCCAGTTTGAGTCCTGTTTTAAGCCAGTTCCATTGCTCAGCTTGACCAAATTCTTAGCTATTTTGCCACTATCCTTCTGTTTATCCATTGAACACAAGAAACCACCTTTACAGCTATCAGAACTACCCTTGTATATATTTGGGCAATTTTATATAAAATTCCAATTTTAAAAACAGTCCAAAATGAACACTGTAGACATTCCAAGCACTAAATGAACATTACTTTTGTTCATTAATCATGTATTAATGTTGGTACAATTACTGACAATATGTTAGGTAAAAGGACACAATGTGACATTTTATTGTGGCAACATTTGGCTCTTCAGGACCTTTATTAAGCAGTTACAAACAATACATGGACACAGAGGGTGTATATAGGCTCACACCGAGGTGTAATACTAGTAGTAGAACAATGAACCAGCACATGAGTAAAAGCTATTAAATGTACTCTACTTGGGTAGCATAAAAATAGGTTAGGCAAATATTTCTGTTAGGGGTTGGGAAGGCCTGTTTCAGCATTCCTCCTCTGTTATGTTCTTGTGTAGTATTAGTAGCAACGACTACATGATGGCAGGGTTTATTGTTTTGAGGAGGATTTTTGCTATAACTTCAGAGATGATGAAGTTGCCTTTATTTTTGCTTGCATTAGAAACGGCAATTAATGACGATTCAAGGCATTTGCGTCTGCGGAAAATTAGGTTCTCTGATCACTAATGTTAGTTTGTGAGAGTACCTTAGAAACGTTCAATGCAACCTGGCTGTTGGGAACGATTATAAGCTTGTTAGGAGTGGTGTTGGTGCATGAAGAATTGATCTGAAGAGCTCTTTTCTTGCAGTCTTTGATGAAAAGGAAGGAAAATGAAAATCAGTGAAGGTTTGATGTATGTAAGTACATTCCTCGTCAAGAAGCAGGACCACAAATTCGGTAAGCTCTTAAGAAAAATCCGATGATACCTCTTTTGGTCTTAGTATCTTGACCACACCGCTCCTGACGAAGTTACAATTCTTCCCAACAGCCAGGTTGTATTGACGTTTCTAAGGTATTCGCACATAACTAACACTAGAGTCGCCATCACATTCAGCACTTCCATAAGGGATCTAACCAGGACAAAATCAAACCACCACGAACCAGTCAGTGCAGAAGTTTATACCTTGTGGAGGCTGCGACAAGAATATATATAGATGAAACTGCAAGGAACCTCGAAACACATCTCAGTGAACACATTAACGCATGTAGGAACTATAACTTGAACAATGCTTAGTACAACACTGGAATTCCACCAATCACATCATGAAATTCAACGACGCCCAACTAGTGATCAGAGAACCTAATTTCCACAGACGTAAATACCTTGAATCATCATTAATTAGTTTCTAATACAAGCAAAATTAAAGGCAGTTTCATCATCTCTGAAGTATTAGCAAAAATCCTCCTCAAAACAATAAACCCTGCCTCACAGTTGCTGCTGCTGCTAATACTACACAAAAACATAACAGAGGGAGGAAACACTGGCCTTACCAACCACTAACAGAAATATTTGTCTAACCTATTTTTATGCTACCTAGGTAATAGCTTTTATAACCTTTTAATCATGTGGAAGTTGATTGTTCTACCACATATATTACGTACTACTACTACACCTCACTTAGTCTATATGTACTCTCTGTGTCCCTGCATTGTTTGTAATGGCTTTGAAAAAGCTCCTGGAGAGCGAAATGTTGCCACAATAAATGTCATATTGGTTGCACTTGTGTCGTTTTATTA